GGAATTCAATAGAGACACAAGGACCTATCTCCCACCCCCACCCTCAAGAATTTTTGTAGAGTATTTTCTTTTAAAAAAAATTGCAGTTACTCTTCTGTTACACAAAATTTGTCCAATGAAAGAAATATGTGTGGTTTTTTGGAGGGTTTGTGTTTTGTTTTTGAGTTTGGTGGGGCTAAATCTAAATATCTTTGTGTTCTTTAGGTTTCCTCCTATATTACTAATGTATACATGAACTCCTGGATGCTAGTGGTTTGTTTCTCCCTTCTGGAGTTGAATCTCCGTGTTCTGTTTCGCTGTAAGGTTACATTCTCTCTGCTAAGGTGTGAGAGAGCTTTTCTGCTAGGCCACCAGATCTAAGCCACCCTTTTAACCTGGGATTTCATTACAATCCATCAGGAAGGAAAAAGAAGTGACCAGAACATTTGACCTATTAATGAGTGTCAAGTGGCTATAATGACCTAGGTACTGCTGATATATTTTGGTTTTGTTTCCTCTGTTGTCAGTGCTAAAGTGATTATGTTGGTTGTTTTAATTCCAGCAGTGCCCTGCCATAGTGTACTTAGATGCTATCTAGTTCCTGTCCCCAAAGAAATAGCAATTTAAGAAAGAGCTGGTAATCCTTTTTTTATTTTTATTTTTATTTTTTTTATTTAATGGCATCTTGCAATGTTGATTACTGTTTTGTTAAGTTATTCTAGTATCTTATTCCTTTGGGGGGGGGGGAGGATTTTCAGCTGCAGCACTAGATACTTTTTGTGGTGGTGGTTCAAACTTGCTGCGTGGTTTCTATGACCAATGTAAGCAATCCAGTTCAGTTCCCTTAGTAGCTGAGATGAAATTTCACCAGAGATTCCATTTACATTCATAATGTCTTAGAGTCAGGGGGAAAATGTTTGACTTTCAGTGAGGTATAGACAGGTCGTTTGGCACAATAGAAGCTGAAAATGTTTAATGTAAATCTTGGGAAAACAGGACAGGTAGCTCAGTGGCGCACATGTCAGCTGTGAACTGATTTGTAGTGATAGTCCACTGTGTTCATCATTTATGCTTTTGGAAGTTGGTAAATACCCTCTGTACTTGGCCAAGTCACTTAGGGTATGTCTACACTTCCACCCTAGTTTGAAGTAGGGTGGTAATGTAGGCAACCGGAGTTGCAAATGAAGCCCGGGATTTGAATTTCCTGGGCTTCATTTGCATCTTGCCGGGCACCGCCATTTTTAAATGTCCGCTAGTACAGACTCCGTGCCGCGCGGCTACACGCGGCACGGACTAGGTAGTTCGGACTAGGCTTCCTATTCCGAACTATCGTTACTCCTCGTGAAATAGGAAGCCTAGTCCGAACTACCTAGTCCATGCCGTGTGTAGCCGCGCGGCACGAAGTCCGCACTAGCGGACATTTAAAAATGGCGGCGCCTTGCAAGATGCAAATGAAGCCCAGGAAATTCAAATCCTGGGCTTCATTTGCAACTCCAGTTGCCTACATTACCACCCTACTTCGAACTAGGGTGGTAGTGTAGACATACCCTTAGTCTCTCCAGACAAGTCACTGTTGTTCTGTTCAGGGTTGCAGTGCCTACCTGACTTAGGCTCCAGTGTGCTCTAGTTACTCTGGAAAAGCAGGCGTATGTCACTTAGGCATTTTAGCACTGAGCGCCACAACATCTAAACACCTTCTTAAAAATCTGGGTCTTCTATCATCCTGGTGCCATAGGCAAAGCAGATGACGATGGTTCCAGAGGTGAAAGTAAGGCGGTGCACCACAGTGTGCTGCTCCTGCAAGAGCTGGCTGAGGCGCTCCGCTTCAGGTGGCGTGCAGCGTGGCAAGTGTTGTGTTCTCCTAGCCAGGCTCCCACCAGCTGTTGGGGCTCCTGCTCCAGACTGGTGCTGGCGACCCCACGTGCCACAGTAAGCAGCAGGCAGCCAGGTGAGACAGGTAGGTGTGAAAGGGGCTAGCTGTGCACGCTCCCAGCCAGGCTCCTGGTGTGTCTATGCCTGTCCTGCTGTCCCCTCTCCTACTGGATGCCAGGAAGCACCTGTGCTGTCTGTGGTGTGGATTGTTGCTGGCGGCCGCAAGAAGAAGCCGGGGAAGGGAACAGCAGGCCAGTGGGGGTTCTCACATCACCTCCACCCATTTGCCTGCCACAGTGCCCCCACACAGCTTCCTTGGCAGAAAACAGGACTACAGGCAGTCCCCGGGTTACGTACAAGATAGGGACTGTAGATTTGTTCTTAAGTTAAATTTGTATGTAAGTCGGAACTGGTACATATTGTAGGGGAAACTCTAGCCAAACATTTCTCCAGAGCTCAGTTTTATTCTCCCACACCTCACTTCCCTCAGTCCTTTATTCTCAAGCTGAGGTGTCTGCTGAGAAAAGCCGCTCCGCGTCTCCCTGGTCTGCTGGGGGGGGCTCTAGCTTCGCGTCTCCCTGGTCTGCTGGGGGGAAGCAGCTAGTGCGGGGTTGCCTCACCCCGTTTGTAAGTAGGGATCCGATGTAAGTCGGATCCATGTAACCTGGGGACTGCCTGTAGTGGGGTAGGGACACACATTTTTTGTTCCTTCCCCCACATTTTTCATACACTCACACACTCTCCTAGCCCTTTGCTCTGACTCCTGTGCCTTTCAAAAGTCCCAGGGAAAGGGTGCTTAACCCCCCAGGTCTGACCCAGGAGGTGCCCCCTTCCACTGCTTCCTACAAGTTCCTGCCTGCCTCATCCAATCCCCGCTCCACCCTCCCCTCACCTGTTCCCACCCAGTTCTGGCCCCTTCCCTTAGCATGCCATGTTCTTACTGTTCCCCCCACCCCACCTGCAGAGCCTCCCAAATGCCATAAAACAGCTGATCTTAGCAGGGAGGATGTGGAGGATGCTGATCCACAGGGCCCGCCAGTAGGTGGGAGTCCCTGGAGGAGAAAAGGAACTGATGCTGGGGGGGTTTTTGTGGCAAAGCAGCAACACCCAGCAGTTTTTTCCCATGGGTGCTCCAGCCCTGAAGTACTTAGTGCCTATGCTTCCATTGGAGGGGTATTATGAGGATCAAATGCATGAATCATTGTGAAGGGTTCGGATACTGCTGTGGGGGGCTAAAAACTGGCTTAATTACTGTACAGTAATTATATTTGCAACCTAATAAGGTAAAGGACACATGATTTTTCCCCAGTCCGTTAAAAAAAAGACATTTTTGTACTATTTTTGTCTTGAACGGTTTCAATCTGTAGGTGTAACTCACGGCATGAACACATAGCATTGACTTCAGTACACTCATAATAGTCTCATTAGCTCCGAAAGTTGTTCTTTTAGCTTTTGTAATATGATATTGGATAACTTAAACAAAACGTTTCTTCCACTTGACCTTACTGACAAACCTTTTCTAAAATCAGTGAAAGGAACTAGCCCCAAAGAAGGCTTTGAACTCACAAAGGCCCATGAGATAATTGCCCAAGGGGCATGATTAAGAAAGCATTCTTCAATTCTTGTGATTAAATGCGAGATTTTCATAGCATTGACATCACAAAAGCTCTGGGGTGCGCTGCAAGGGATTCGTGATCAGCCTTCATCTGCCTCCCTCTCCCTGGCAACATTACCTGGAAGTCATAGCTAGCTGTTAATTTTATGGTCATTTAGCTTCTTATCTACTTACATATCTATAAAATTGCTATTAAGAAACCCTTTCAATATGGTCCACAATGACTGCATCTTGGGACAAATGAATTATGGGTGCAGAGCTATCATTACATCCCTTGTGGTCAAGCATTGTGCTGCTCTATAGCAGGGATGGGCAATAATTTCTGAAGGGGGGGGGCCACTTCATGAATGTTAGGAGTGGTCGTGGGCCTTAGGCAGAAGAGACAGGCATGCAGTGCCTAGCCGGACTCACCAGCCATTGGAACAGCTGGAAGTTCCCTCTGGTGTCGCACACCCCTGGCAGGGGGAGGAGATTTCACATGCTCCCCCATCTCCAGGTCTTGATTGGCCTAGGGGTGGGGGGACTGAAGGGTAGCCGCAGGCCAGATCAAATGTCTTGGCGGTCTGGATTTGGCCCGTGGATGATGTCTTGCCCACCCCTGCTCTGTAGGGTGCCTGTGGCTTACTCAATACAATTTTAAAGAGTCACAGACTTCTCCAAATAGTGACTCAGCAAGTGTTCTTACACATTGGAGTGGGTTGATTGAGATTTGACCCTGCCAGATGGCGATACACTGAAAATTTGAGTAGCAATATGAAACTGTCTAATAGAGCTTAGTTACAGAAATACTTTTACTGAATATCTTAGGGCATTGTGTCTTGTTTTGGGTTCTTTTGCTGGTTTTTTTGGTCATTATTTTTTTCACTCCGTGCACACACTATTTTCATTAGCTCCCTGTCTCACTTTTCTCCCATTCCTTCTAAACTCCATAGAGATGCATTTTTGGGAAGATGTCATGGTTCACAAATCAATCATCATCGTCCATAGGTGGAAGCCCTGGTTGATTTCATTCGGGGGGGTTCTGAGTGCACTCAGGATTGGGTCCAGTACAGTTATGACACCTCTAACCACAAAATAAAAATAGAATTCCTTCCAAAAACAAATGTAGAAAGGGATGCCTCCGGCCTGGAAAAAAGTGTGCCATACTGGGTAAGGGAGTTTGATTTTAAAGTGAATCAATAAGGAAGGAACAGTGTTTATTACTAAATCCATAAACCCAAGCTTAACTGTTATTTTTGCCTCAATGTTATATATAGCATAACTAAGAGCCTCATTTTCTAAATACTTCTACTTCCTTCAATCTTCTTTCTCCTGACAATAACACTGTGTCCTTTATTTTTCATTTAAAGATGCTCTTTGTGTTGCAAGAAAAGAATATTCAATGTATAATATTTTAAAAGGGCAGTAAGGTTATCATAATCACGCCCTAATGTTGCACTCATGTGATTAACTTGAAAGAAAATGAGGTTGATTATGATTTATGTGTGAAGCCCAAGGGTTTCATTTCTTTCCTTTTTTTTCTGCTTAATTGCAGGGGTTTTTCCGCAGAAGTATTCAGAAGAACATGGTTTACACATGTCACAGAGATAAAAACTGTGTTATTAATAAAGTCACTAGAAATCGCTGCCAGTACTGCAGACTACAGAAGTGCTTTGAAGTGGGAATGTCCAAAGAATGTAAGTTATTTCAACAAACAGTTTTTTTGTCATTTGTTACCCCTATGTGAGAGAGCACATAGGAAATAATATATTATCATATCATTAAAAAACTGTATCATAATGCACAAAGGTGACAAATTCAGTTTTACAGGGAGCCTTAAAACTGGTAATTCCTAACTTCCAAGTGCTTGACCTTGCAACTAAATAATCCTATTTCTATGTGTGATTTTTTTTAATATAATATGCTAGGGATGTTAAATTGCATTTAATCAACAAGTGGATGGAATTTCCAGCAATTAGTTGGCAAGTGGAGGGAATTGCAGAGCCACAGCAGGATCAACTCCTGGCCCCGGGAGCTAACCCCGTTGCAGCTCTGCCTTTTAAATGTATTAAGAGCCGACTGGCTCGTAATACATTAAAAAAGTAGAAGTGGAGTGGGGAGGACCAGGCACGAGCCAGGACTTCTGATTCCCGACTCACACTTGGTTCCCCTTGCTGTGCTTCAGCATTTTAAATGCATTAAAAGCCTCCTGGATTTTAATACATTTTTAAAAAGTAGAAGTGCAGTGTGGGGGAACAGGCGCAAGCCAAGACTGCTGATTCCTAGTTTGCACCTGTCCCCTCCTCCCCCACTGTGTTTCAGCTTTTTAGTTGTATTAAGAGCCAATAGGCTCTTCATACATTTAAAAAGCAGAGTTATGGTGTCTGGGACTGGGCGTGAGCCAGGAATCAGCTGATTCTTGGCTCGTGTCCAGAATCATCTGATTCCGAGCTTGTTGCCCAGTCTCCCGCGACATCTCTGCCTCCCCTGCTCCCTGCGGAGTTGGTGCTGGAGGAGGAACTGGCTTTTAACCCAGATTCCCCAGCACTGGCTCCTGCTCCCCGCTTGCTGCCTCTCATACACAGGGGGGGGCGGGAAGCAACTAATCGAGTCACTGCTCAACTATCCGAGAAGCCTAAGCTTATCAGATAGGCATATTACAAGGATGTAAGCAACTAATTGACTAATGTGGATGTGAAAACATTAAAGGGACACTTTCAATTTTTGTGATTAGTAAATTTTGGTAAGGGGATCCCTTTCAATAGTATGTCCTAAACTCAGGATAGCTGTATCTATATCCTCATTCCAGGAGTTCCTAGACAGCTGGAAACCTGACCTATGTCTCTGGACAAGGACCCTGGTCCCACTTCTTCCTGAGCAAGTATTTTAAGGCTACACAGCTCTCTGTCTTACCCTGTGACATCCACAGATGTAAATCTGTCTAATAGTCAACACCTGGGCTTTGCTTCCACTCTGGGGGCTATCCCCAATGTACTGACCGCAGTTAATTGTTACCACACAACTTTTTGTAAGCAAGCACGTTTATTCTGAAGGTAAAAGCATTACAGCGAAAACATGTAACATTAATAAATCGAACCTACTACACAGATATTTATCAGAGCTCACCCACAACTCCAATAAGGGCACTGGTAGGCGTCAGTCTTTCCAATCATTCCATAAGATCTGCCTAAGATCTAAGGTCCTGTCAGTGCAAATGAAGCATTGTATCCCAAAAGCCCTTTCTTTGTCTACTGAGCTCCGAAAACCTAGTTTGAACCAGTGTACATAAACATCCCTTCCCAAATGGGGTTTGTGGTGCCTGAAGTCTGGAGGAGATTATGCTGTAAGTGATTCACCTGAATCACCTTCCTCTATTCAAAAGCACTCTGGTTCTGGATAGCCTTCCCTACTGGAGTCGCATGCAATCCATTGCACAGGACTGGGAACAGCTACTGAATGACATCTGCTGTTGTTGACAGTGTCTCATTATCTGGGGAAACCTCAGGAAACCAACCCCTGCCTTTTTATTATGTGACGTTTGTGTTAAGGCATCATCCTGCTCTGCCCTCAGGTGTTGGGAACAAGGTACACTTCTGTTTGCATCCATGATATTGCCCTCACAGGCATGTAGTGAGGCAGTGTATAGTTATAGACTAGACAGGAAATGGAATAGAAATGGACTTTTTCAAGCAGGATACTGGCAAAACCACCTTATTACAGTGAAATTTCTCTATTAGTACAACTCCAGAGTATCCTGAACTCCTTCCATCCCCATTATGTGGGGAGCTGCCTTTCATGCCCCCTTCCTTTTTTTTTTCCAGCACTGCATGGCAGCGGCTGCCCTGCCCACAGTACTTTGCATGAAGGCTTTAGGCCACAAGATCCACTTATTTTAGTTGCTGATCTGTGGCCCCTCTCCAGACCTGCCCCCATAAGTAGTAGATTTGTGATAATATTTGCAATTAACTTCCTTGGGAGGTAACATTACGATAAAGTGGAAGATCTACTGCGTTAAAAAACACACTACTGTATTTTAGAATATTTGGGGGTACATGTTTCTCTGGACATATGGTGAAAAGCTGCTTCAGAACAAAATGGACTTATAAAGTGGTGGGGAAGGGCTGCAGACTAAACAAAGCATTTTATCAACCAAGAATGGGGTTTCTGTTCAGATCTCAAGAGAGATGTGATCTAAGCCCCAGAGTGGGAGCCAAAGCTCCTGAATTCCTACCCCGGCTGACAATGTCTGCCTCCTCCTGTCCTCTTTAACCAGCTAATTCCCTCTCCTCCCCCATGTGTAAAATGTGGATGTGACTCTGCAGTTTGGGGAGAATCCATGTATGTTTGTAAAGTGCTTTGAAATTGAAAAATCCTAATTGTGATGATTCCACTGAAGGGAGGAGTTTGAGCAAAATAAAAGCAGGGAAACTCTGCGACAGAGACATAACTCAGGTTCTTTATGAAATTGGATAGGCTTAGCAAATTAAGCCCCAAACATTCTTGTATCCCCAATGTGGAGCTGTTTGGGGATGAGCATGAACAAAACAGATGAAGGGTGTTTCCTGTGTTTGAGAACACAGTATGTTAGTTTTATGTGTTTAAAAACACAGCAGTCTAATGTCAAGGTCAGATACATACCACAGACAATGTATTCTTTATGATGTGGTGCTGAAAATGAATAATGGAATGTTTTATATTAAATTAAAAATTGGTTGTAGAAGAGCAGAGTTCAGCTAGCTGCACATTGCTTCTTATCCTGTAGCTTTGCTATTGAGGTGTTTTAATGTCTTCAGAGAAACAGATCCCTTTGTTTTTCCTGAGATCTGTCTTGCTTTTTAAAAAGTCTTTCCTTCTGAATTTTGCACTGCTTTTAATGCCAGTTTTAATGTTTAAAGGAGCATCTTAAATTGAATACTATCAGTCATAATTTACTCTAGGTTCTGTGAATATGGTTATGTAACAGCAGCAATTGCATCAACTCAGCTAATGCGTTTTCCTCCGGTGCCATGTACAGCAGATTAATAGCCCATGAATTCATTTGCAGCTCGTTGTATTTCAGGCAGCAATTAATAAGCGGCTAAAGAAAATAACAAATGATTTTTTAATCTAGTATGTTAATTTCCAGCTGAACAGTTTATTGGCTCCTTTTCTTGTGTGTCCTAACGAAATTCTCCTGATTTCTAACTCAGTCACAGCGAAACTCTTTGAATCTCGTGCAAGTCAAGGCAGAATTTTATGATTAGTTTGATAATTTTCCCAAATGTTGAGAGAAAAAGTAGAATGTTCTCTAAGATTCCGCATCTTCATTCATTGTTTTTCACATATTACATGGATATTTGTAACTTTAAACCATCATATAATCGTGTTGCTGTATTTAGAGAGAAAATGCAGTTGTGTGAACTAGGGATTGAAAGCTCAGCAACACTTGGCACAATTCCTGTGTTTCTTTTTGTCAGCTGCCAGGCTGAGCTTTTTGTGGCCATTATCCCTGCAATGGATTCTTAAGCCCGGGGTAAAAAGTGGGTCAGGGGAAGGGTGAGGAGGAGTAGCTGGAGACATAAAAATCAATTGTTAGCCGAAAAGGAAAAGTGAGGGAAATCCTCTGCTGCTATTGAGAAAAACACAGGGAGAGTTAAGTTCTTGCTGTTGAACTTGGACAAGAAAGAATGATAGAGACCGTAAAAACTGAGAACCGAGCTAGGGTTCAGAACCCAAGGGAAATGAAAACAGAGAGATTCCTGTAATGCAGGCCAGACCTCAGGAGCAAAGTCCCAGGGGAAAGCACCAGCATGTGCTTCAGGGCATCCCAGTCTGGTTCTAGATTGGCCTCTCCCCCCTTAAAACTAATTACTTTGAAATTTCTGTTTGTTTTTCCAGTCTCTCTCACTTCTTGTTCAAGTGAAACAGTAAGAACCATTTATGTTAACATACGAGAGGAAATACTGGGCCTTGGCTCCTTCTCTTTTAAGAGTGCTTTCTCGGAGCTTTTGCTTTCTTTGAGAAATGAGGAAGCATAAGGGAAGCGTTTCTGCTAGGCTCACCTAAAGATTGACCACAGGTCCTCACCTGGCAGTTATATTAAGACATTGCTAATACAGTGATCTTTCAGTTCTCTTGCTGCAGTCGCCGTATTGTAACAAAGATAACACTTATTTGACCTTGTACACTGGGCCTGCAGCATCCGCTTGCATCCATAAATCCTAGTCCCTGCCAAGAATAAGTGTGAGCCTTTCCCATATTTTGTTTAGTAAGATTTATATTTAATTTGTGACACTCCAGAATAATCACATAGAATTATAATTTCATCACTTGCAGTATTCAAGTTTACCTCTGAAATACCCAATGGTCTTTGGGGAGACAGGGCAAAATATGTGATGTTTGGATGTTTTGAATTATAAAGTCTGCCTTTGTCCCTTGTACAGGGTTTCCTGTTGTAGAGAGTAAATTGTATTGACGAACGCTGAGTTCCTGTAAAAATTATGCTCTTTTTCCAGCCGTAGAGGTGAACTTTGAATAGACACTTTGCTCTTTTGTAAAGTCTTCTAGCTAATCAAAGTACTTTGCAAACATTAATGAAATAAGCTGTATTATGCGGCTGTAGAGTATTACTGTTCCCTGTTTTTGCAAAAGGGAAAATTAAGGCACAGGGAGGGGTCTTTCTTATCCAAGATGACACAGCAATTTTTTGGCAGAATTA